CAATTCTAGGCTCACGCTGAAGATATGGCTAACGGCCAACAATTTAATCAGAAAAACTTGCAGAGGCAGCGAATGTGCCTGTTGACGGTTGAGCCTGAATGGAAAAGACGTTGGAAAACTCGAGATTATTACTAGTACTAGTCGAAATGCGTCGTGAATTCTGCCCCCAACTTCCAGAACCCCCGGCATCACCTCGAGAGCCATTAATGGCTACACTCAGATTGGTTAGAGCTGAATTGATGGCCAAATTCGAAGAAGAAGAGGTCACAGTAGAGCCCGATGTAGTGGCGGGTCGACCTCGACGGATGTGACATACATTTGCGCGTGATTGCTGACTGAGTGCACCTTGCCAAAATACGGCTACAGCAGAGTCCTCTGGAGCTGAGCAACCGATTGCGGCCAGCAAACCGTCCCATTTCCGTTTAGCATCTGCACCAGACAAATTCGGACCCTGGAAGAAAATAAGATCAAAACCAGAGTTAATATAGATTTGTAAAAAGTATGAGTTGAGAATAAAATAAACCTAATTAAAAGTGAATCGTGACTCATTAAGAAATAATCTCTGTTATAGTAAACGCAAAAGATTTCAAGTTGGATAAGTAGGCCAAGAGGTATTCGGAGTAGATAATTCAATGGATACAGAAATCTGACTTATAAGAGAAAATAAATATTTAAAAAGTAGAAAATTTTGAACAATATGTCGATAAATAAAAAAATAGATAAATAGGATAAAGAAATGGCATCTACTCCTAGTAATGGTCATAGTTAAGTATCATGCCCTGCCTAGACAAATAACATGAGTGGCTGCTAAAAAATTACTAAGATGGCTTAAGAAATACCACAATTATTTTACAAAAACATACTCATGGACATTAAAATTAAACTGCTTCAATCAGAATTTGAACAAACAATAAAATATCATAGTGGAGGTGTCACGAGTTTCTAGACACACTTGGCATCGCTTGAAGGCATATAGCAGACGGGCCTTATTAATCCACTCTTGACGAAGAGCGATGAGTGCCAAATCCATTGCTTGTGGTGGCAGGGCAGGTTGTAAGTCGAGCAATTGGATAACCTGACGAACATATGCGGAATAGCGCATCGGCGAAGAATTAGAAGAGGTGGTGTTAGAAGCTGAGGCCGACGAGGCGCCTCCCTGTCTAGCAGAGGCGACGGGTGGTTGTGTCTGTTGCCGCTGTTGAAATTTTGGTGAGCCTGAATCCCGAGGAGGAATAGATGTGGTGTCATTTGTTTCAAGATAACCAGGGCACTTGTCCGATTCATATCTGTGGGTCCTAGTGCCGCTCGATTTCCGATAAGATGAAGTTATAGTGGTCTCTCCAACTGTGAAACATTCATTTGTGTGTGCCGAACAGGTAGCTGGCAGCTCAAAAGAAGCATCACAATTGATAGAAGACAATTCGCGATTAGTTAAAGCTGAAAGAAGCTTAGGTGGTCCACGAGTAGCGCGAAAGTGAAGCTGTTAAAAAATAACAAGAAGGAAAGGCATCTATTTAGAAAAATTGAAAAATAATGACTTTAACTAAAAGGATAAATGGTGATAAAGTGAAACTCATGTAGCGTATGCACAACCGAATAGATGTGTCAAGTTGAACTAGAAGAATAAAACAAT